GATTCTAATTAAACTTAATTCTAGTTACTTTTAATTCTATTCTAATTATTGTTACTAGTAGTAAGGCCCTTGCTCCTCAAGGATTGTTACTTTTTCCACACTTCTCATTTGCTCAGTCCACTCCGCTCAAGTGAACCGGATCGGAAGTGGTTCAGACTTGACTTGGGAGAGGTTGAACGTGTGCGCTGGCACAGCGATGTGAAGCAATAGGAAAGTCGAGTAGCGGGGAATGGCACAGAAAGCACTCAAGAAGAGACTTAATTGGACACAAACTAAATTAAACTATGTATTGCAATCTAAATTGCAAATTGTTTATCTAACTCATGTTTCTTCTCACAGAAACCCGAGGCCGATTGGAACGGCAAACGGTTGCGAATGTTGCAGCAACGTCGAGCACGCATAGCCTCAACCCCACTCCCGAGTTGACAACTTCGGTGCACAGAGCGCTACTAGGAACAAGAAGCTACTAAGGGCTCCTGGCATCGCCACTAGGAGCAAGGACGCTACTAGGGGCTCCTGGCCATACTACTAGGAACATGTTTTTTTTGGGTATATATGTCTTTGAAGCTTCTTTGTAGCATTCTGGCTACTAGGAGCCAGAAGCTTCCTTGGGAACCGTTTCACCTGTAGTAATAAGAAGCTATTAGGAGCAAGGCCGCTACAATTCTGAACGGTTCCAACGGGCTCTGTTGTGCCATTGTGTGCCCGAGGCAGCAGCAGACAAGAAGGCTGGAGTGGCTAGCAGGAGCAAAGGACGCTACTAGGGGCTCCTGGCATCGCTACTAGGAGCATGCAGCATGGGCATTACTACTAGTAATTAACAAGAAGCTACTAGCGTCTCCTGGCCTTACTACTAGGAACAAGGACGCTGCTAGGAACACAGGGCATCGCCACTGGTAACAAGGACGCTACTAGGTTGGAGGCCATGGCTATCAGGTTCTGTAAGATGATGATTTACGGCAAAGAGGAAGCTACTAGGTGGAGGCCATCGCTAGTAGTAACTAGAAGCCAAAGAAGACTAGAGCTCGAAGGAGTCCGAGTTGCTGAAGAAAGAGATATTTTTGTCATCGACTTGTCGCATGTGTCAGCACTTCCAGGTCCAGGACTCTCAAAAAGCCTTGGAAGACATGAAGGCGCCCAGCTCGAGAGATGAAAAGAGATGAAGAGATCAGCACTCCATAAGATCTCTTTGGAATGCCCTTGTTACTACTAGCTTCTTGCTACCAGTAGTAATGGCCTGCAACCTACTAGCGATGGCCTCCAACCTACTAGCTTCTTGCTACTAGATGAGGTGGAAGAGATGAATTTAAAGAGATCAAGCTGAGCACAGGGGAGCAAGGACGCTACTAGGGGCTTCTGGCCTTACTATACTAGGAGCCAGGACGCTACTAGTAACAAAGGGCATTGCTACTAGGAGCTATTTGTTCCTAGTAGTAAGGCCAGAAGCCCCTAGTAGCTTCTTGTTACTAGTAGTAATGCCCATGCTCCTAGTAGCGATGCCAGGAGCCCTGCGCGCGCGAAAAGGTCCTAGTAGGATTTTGTTTGCTAGTAATTACAAGTGCCTTACTAGTAGTAACAAGAAGCTAGTAATTTTATTTAAATGCTTATTGTTACTAGTAGTACGGCACTTGTTCCTAGTAGCGATGCCCTTGTTCCTAGTAAAGGGTACGATCACTGATTGCATCTTGTCAGGCCAACGCCGAGTCCAACTCGCGGGTTCGCATGGTGCGTGTCACATGGCGGAAACGGCAGTCAAAATTAGTATAATACTGGTGAAGTCCGCAACTGGTGCTTTCATGGATTTGCCGAAAATACGGCACCTTACTACCAGTAACAAGAAGCGACTAGGTGGAGGCCTAGGTTGGAGGCCATTGCTACTAGTAGCAAGAAGCTACTTGTAGCGACAGTTTCAGGTCTCGTTTTGCTGTTCAAAACCGTCTTCGAACCAAGGCCAAGACCGGCATTGTGGATGAAGCTTTAACTGTTGACGAATTGGAGGCAGGGCCGACAGGGTTTGGAATATATTTTTAGGGCGCTAGTCGCTAGTTTGTCGGAGGCCATTGCAATTATTTTTCTGCAGTGTCCAAGTTATGTTTCAAGTTTTCTTTACTTTCATTTTGATTCAACATTGCGTAAAGCCAAACAAATGTTTGTGCTAAACAAATACGCCTCATGTTCACGCCTTTCTTCATGGTTCCCCTTTGCCATGCAATGCCGGCACATCTCAGGCCAAGGTGAAAGAGTTGGAAGACCTCAAGAACAACAGCGACAGCAAACTTGAGGATCACACGCCATCACATGCGATCTCGTGATCGAAGGCCATTTCTATTAGGTTGGAGTTGGAGGCCATCGCAAGTAGGCTGGAGGCCACTGCGATGTTGTGTTTCTATTAGGCCCGTTGCCAAAAGCAACACGATTCTCAAAGCGCAAGAGTATCAAGCAACAGATGCTTACTCAGATGCTTCTAGAATGTTGATTATCCATCGTGTTTTTCCACACTACCCTCACCAACCCGTTGCTTTGGTTTTGAATGCTACTATGCTCGCCCATTGTGGACGAAGAATGCCCGTGCTTGTTGACTCGTGGTCCACTGACACTGGTCTAACCAGGAGCTTAACATTGAGATCAGCAAGCTCCAGGTTAGACCCTCACGCCGATGTTCTCGATTTTCTTTTTTACATGCCATGTTTCTCCATTGATTATCCATGTTTCAGCGCACACGGGTTGTTGACCATCACACTTTTTTGTTGTCGTCCTTGTCCAACTTATACATTTGGGGAGGCTGAAGCCTGGGGCCTGGGTGGATCTTCGAAACAGGATGTAACAAGAATGGCCTCCAACCGACTAGCAAATGGAACCCAATAGCCATGGCCTCCACCCACTACTTGCGATGGGCCTCCAACCTAATAGCGATGGCCTCCAACTCAATCGCTTGAGGTTGCATCTACAACCTAGTCTTCATGTTTTGCTAAAAGAGTTCGACTGGATCTTGGGGTCCAAGGGCACGATGAGCGAGTAGGGTCAAGCTTCCGAGCCAATTCACAGTACAACCAGTTGTCAAAAAGAAGCATATTTCTTGAGAAGGTTGGAGGCCATCGCCATTAGGTTGTTAGTAGGTTGGAGGCCATTCTTGAGAAACTCAGAAACCGAGAGAAGCAGTTTTTTGGGGGTAGAGGACGCTACTACGAGCAAAGGGCATCGCTACTAGGAACAAGGACGCTACTAGGGGCTCCTGGCCATACTACTAGGAGCAAGGAGCTATTAGTAACAAGAAGAAGTAGAATTAAACTTATTTAGAGGCCGCTGTCGGACCAAGGCCCGAATTCAAGAGCTCGGTGGCCCTGAGGCGCCTTTTTCGTGCTTTACTTTTCTGAAGCGGAAGGAACAAGAAGCTACTAGTAGCTCCTTTCATTAAGCATGCTGCACTTATATAGCACTTTTTTTGAAATAGTATGCCCTCGGGGACCAGAAGGCTTTCTTGTTCCTCAATAGAGGGCGAGATAGAGCCTGTGCGCACCGGTGGGCAGGAAGCTGAGAAGGAGCAAGACGAGTTGGTAGACTTGATGCGCCACAAGACCTCCAACCAGGCAAGGTTGATCCACACAGAGTGACCAGCAGCCTCCACTAGCGATGGCCTCCAACTTACTAGCCTTACTAGTAGTAAGAATGCTCCTAGTAGTAAGGCCAGGAGCCCCTGGTAATTATCTTCTTGCTCCTATCATAGAGAACGTTTAAACATCGTTTTCAAATTGAATGCGTGCTTAGCACGGACGGAGAGGGAAAAAAAGGATGGACAAGATAAGTGAATCAATGAGCCCTCTCAGTGTTCTGTGTCCAAGCACGGAATAGTGTTTCTTCCTTGCCTTGCTATTACAGCCGCCCCCCCAACTCCCAACTCACCTACCTTTGCACTCACTCCATCCCACTCCCCTTTGTATTCTGCTCGGATTACCTCAAAAGAAGGTATGTAGCAAGGATAAGAAACATGCAGAAAAAGACAGGCAACAAGAAGAACAGATAAGGACTTTTTTCATACGGCATTTCTGAATAAGACCGTTCTGCATTTGTGTCATAGAGTCATAGAGTCAAAGGAGCAGATTCCCAGTTTCCATCGCTCTTAGGTTGAAGGCCCTCCCTAGTAGGTTGGAGGCCATTCATGAGAAACTCAGAAACCGAGAGAAGCAGTTTTTTGGGGGGTAGAGGACGCTACTAGTAGCAAAGGGCATTGCTACTAGGAGCTATTTGCTACTAGTAGTAAGGCCAGGAGCCCCTAGTAGCGTTCTTGTTCCTAGTAGCGATGCCCGTTGTTACTACTAGTAAAGGGTATGTAGCGAAGGTCGCCTTCTTGGGCACGAGTAGTGCGAGCGTCTCGCGAGGCGCACAACGCCGCGCTACAAGAGCAGCAAAAAGATACCTTGGCAATGCTCATGGAGGCGCCACGAACTCGACAAAGAGCGATGGCCTCCAGTCACAAAGAACGCGTTTGCTTTCGGGGACGCGACAGAGAAGAAGAATTCGTTTCCTCATGTTTGGTCTCTTTTTTTCCCTTTCTCGTCTTTGAGCCGTGCTCCAAAGTTGTGACAAAGGTGGGCTCTCTATGTGGACTAACAATGAGGAAAATGTTTTTTAGGAACGAGGTTCCAGGTTGCAGCTAGGGATGCACTGAAATGTGCAAGTTCAGCTTCACAGTTTGCATGTAGGTTGGAGGCCATCGCTACTAGGGTGGAGGCCATTGCTATTAGGTTGGAGGTTTTACAGAAGTCGTTTGAACGTGAAGAAACATGCAGGCTCGACTTGGAGAGATTGAGCGGTTGCAGGACGCTCGAGATGCAGCCACTGGACAAATCAATCTGATGGGTGTCAACGACGAAACACCAAGAAGGTTATCAGAGAGAGAGAGAGAGAGCAGGTGAAAAACATCAGGTTGATTCACCCAATGCAGCTGGGATGGTTGAGGCCAAGGCATCAAATTATGGTTCCTTTTGCTAGTAGGTTGGAGGTCATTCCTATTATGGTTCCTAGGAACAAGAAGCTACTAGGTTACAGAAGCTTCAAATGAACTCCAATAAAACGTGATCCGTTTCGTGACAAACTTGAGTGTCGGACGTGCCTGCCGCCTGACCCGTTTGGTGAGACACAGCGACCTTCAGGGCGATTTTGCGGGCTAAAGCGTTACTAGTAGCGTCCTCTTGCTCCTAGCAGTGAGGCCAGGAGCGCCCCTAGTAGCGTCCTTGCCCCTAGTAGTGGTCGACGGTTGACATGCCGCGGCAACTGTGTAACTGTCGAGGTGTGCTGTGGCGAAACAACTAGGAGCAAGGACGCTACTAGTAGCTCCTGGCATCGCTACTAGGAACAAGAAGCTACTAGGAACAAGTGCCACGCTAGTAGTAACAGGTGCCTTACTAGTAGTAACAAGTGCCTTACTAGTAGTAACAAGGTAAGCTACTAGGAGCAAGGACGCTACACACTCAGACAGCCAGCAGCATGTTGCTTAGAATCCGTGCGCAACAACTGTACCAAAGACTGGTGGAGGCCAAAGAGAGAATTGTACATTCTTGGAACAGCTCATCCTCCAGCTCCTCACGCAACTGACGGTCAAGGAAGATCAAGGAAGTGGCCGATCCTACTTTTGGGAGCGCGAGAGGCCCATCCTTCGTGGTGTGCAGAAAGTCGAGCCGACTCTTGGAGGCTCGATCTCAACGGAGTGCGCCTTCCAGGCTGCACTGGGAATCCATATCCAGAAAAAGCGCCCAGTCAACAAGGATGTCAAGAAGGCTAGGAATGGAGGCCATCGCTACTAACCCGGGCGTCGCTACTAGGAGCAAGGACGTCACTAGCAAAGGGCCAAAGGGCATACTAGGAACAAGAAGCTACTAGGGGCTCCTGGCATCGCTACTAGTAACAAGAAGCTACTAGTAACAAAGGGCATCGCTACTAGGAAGCTACTAGGGTGGAGGCCCTTTACAAATGACCCGGACCACTCGGACCCTTAGGGCCCGGCGCACGAAATCGATTGGGCCAATACGGGGCCAAACAAAATAGCGATCCGAGATGATCCGCTAGGTAGCTACTTGCTCCTAGCAGTACGGCCAGGAGCCCCTAGTAGCTTCTTGTTACTAGTAGTAAGAATGCTCCTAGGAGTGAGGCCAGGAGCTACTAGTAGAAATGCCCTTTGCTACTAGTAGCATCCTTGCTACTAGCGATGCGCCTTGCTACTAGTAGCATCCTTGCTACTAGCGATGCGCCTTGCTACTAGTAGCATCCTTGGTGTTAATACTGACCGTGGCCCAGGCGCCCGATGATTTTCAGCATGGTTTGACACAAGAAAGATAGGGAGAAGTGGAAGCTGGATGGGGGTCATCGCTCGTTTGATACTGCCTTGCCAACTGCCGGTGAGTTCTCATCACGATGTTTGACTTCTTGGGATCCACCGTGCCGGCCGTGCCGGTAAAGATCTTACACATTGGAATCCCCGAAATTTCCTCTACAAATTGGGTCAACCCCATTGGAAACGACCTTTTTGCAGAGAAAATGTTGGCTTTCTATAAAATCACTGTCCTGGGTGTTCCTGATTTGTAGAGTGATCAGGGCACATTTTGAGTACGTTAGCAAAAACATGATTTGCAAGACAGGGTCCATTTTATAGAAGTTGCATTTTCTTTTTTTTAATCTTTCCGCTAACTCGAGCATGTGCACCCACCCACCCTAATTTTGTAGAGGGTTAGAAGCCAGTTGTTTAAGCATTTTTCTTGGAGGGGTTGATTTTATAGAGAGCTCACTTTTCTGAAAAATTTATGTGAGCCCACTCAGGCCAACCCCCAACCCAATATTATAGACTTAAGGTTTCTATCTTGGGGGCTTGATTTTATAGATGGATTTGTTGGTTTGGACCTGGGGTGAGGCATTTGTATATACAAAATGCAACCCCGGGGTTGTCGTGTGAATTTTACAGGCATCAGCAACGGCGGCTGATGTGCATTTCTGGCGGCTTGCTCTTGAAGTTGGGGGTGTCTGAGGTTCGCTTGGAGGCTTTGAAGGTGAAGAAGGATGGCCGTGATCTCAGTGGGCGCGTTTGTTCTGGTAGCAACGCGTTTTCTGCACCCAGTGTGTTCCAAGGTGGCACAGACACACAGGCACAAGAGGAATGTTTGGCCAAGCTGGAAGTGCCCCGGTTGTCCAAATCGATTTGTGTGCATGTGTTTCTTTTTTTTGCGGGGATGGTTTCATTTCATCGCACAAACCGTTGATGATGAAATGGCTGGGGTCTTACATGCGAATGCAGAGATCAAAGTTAGTGTTAAGAAGCAGTAGCGACATCATTTGTTGTCGAAACATGTCAATGGAGCCAAATCCTTGCTATGCAGCGGGCGGCGGTTCCTAAGGAACAGTTGGTGTTGGCCCGGAATGATTGTGACCCAGCTGCATCGCAAGTAGGCTAGTAGGAGGTTGTGATGCCTAAGGCCGAATGGCCCTGCGTAAAAGTCACATGTGTTGATGCTATTTTTGGAAGCAATGCCCTTTGTTACTAGTAGCGTCCTTTGTTCCTAGTAGTGAGGCCAGTATCTTCTTGTTACTACTAGTAAGGCACTTGCTCCTAGTAGTACGGCCAGGAGCCCCTAGTAGCGTCCTTTGCCCCGCGTTAGGTGAGAGTATGAGTGAGAAGGCAGTAGAAGTGGGCATGGGCAAAATCTTCCGCGCTGCCATTTTGGCACTGCATCGTCAGGACGGGCGGGGGGCCATGCCTTTTTCATCACCTAATAGCGATAGCCTCCACCCTAATAGCATCCTTGCTCCTAGTAGTAATGGCCTCCAACCTAGTAGCTTCTAGTTACTAGAAAGCTTCAAAGACCCAATATACTAGCAACTAGTATTTTCTTGTTCCTACTAGCGATGGCCTCCACCCTACTAGCGATGGCCATGCCTTTTAAACTCATCAACCACCTTCAATATCCAGTTGAGACTTCTGTCCACATTGTTAGTTGCCAGGGTCCGTCGGGAGGTGATCCATTCATGCTATGGTTTTAAGACAATTGAGACTCCCTAGTAGCGTCCTTGTTCCTTAGTAGCGATGCCCTTTGCTCCTAGTAGCTATTTGCTCCTAGTAGTACGGCCAGGAGCCCCTAGTAGCGTCCTTGCTCCTAGTAGCTTTGTTTCCAGATGTTTCAGTTTTGTTTGTGGGTGTTCAAATCTGGAACTGCAAACCTTCAAACGTGTGCTTGTGCTGTGTGCTGTGAGCACCGAAGCGCACAGGATGAAGATTCGAAGGTGCAGTACTTACAGGACCAGCTTTCTTTTGGTGTCTCACAAACGATTTCGTGTCCTCGGCACAGCCCTCTGCAATCTCGGTGAAGGCCGCTGCAGAGCTTTTCAAAGCTCTTGTGTCATGCAAACCTGAGAAGCTGAAGAAAGCAAATACCAGAGAGAGAGAGAGCCTTGCAGAAATGCCAAGCCAAACACTGCAAGTCCAAAACTTTCCGATAACATGGATGCACTTGGGTGCACTTTTGAGCACTAGTAGCTACTAGTAACAAGTGCAGGGCATTGCTGGCATTACTACTAGGAGCAAGGACGCTACTAGGGGCTCCTGGCGTTGCTACTAGGAGGATTCTTACTACTAGTAACAAGAAGCTACGAAGTTCGCTGGAGTTACTTTGTGATTCTGAACTCATTCTTTTGCTCGGTGAAAGGGGCTCAAAAGGGACTCAGGTGGCCCCCGGTGAAACCATTCAAATGTAATTCCTGTGGAGTGGAAGCAGTAACAAGTGCCACGCTACTAGGAACAAGTGCCGCGCTTCTAGTAACAAGTGACTTACAGGACCAGCTCTCAATTCTACAAGCCTCGGCTGATCAAGATGCTGCGCAGGCGACGTTCAGAGTTCGGACATCGCTACTAGGAGCGATCTAGGAACAAGGAAGCTACTAGTAACAAGTGCATCGCTACTAGGGGCTCCTGGCCGTACTACTAGGAGCATTTCGGGCATCGCTACTAGGCGACTTTCAGAGTTCGTGTAGTAAGGCCAGGAGCTACTACTTTCCGTTTTCACGGCGTTGACATTTGCTGTTCTCCGGCTGGTCGAAGGTGCGTCGCTTGGAAGAGGAAGGTGCTGCGGCTTTAGCCGAAGCACAGAAGGCCGCAGAAGAGGCGTGGAGTCGAAGACGAGTCAACTTATTGCCCTCAACCTGGAAGCAATGGCCTGTAACCTACTAGCGATGGCCTCCAAAAGCTGTTAGTGTTTATTGACTATGCACTGCCGCGCTGCCAGGCGAAAGAAGCAGCCGAGTTTGCGTTGCAGGAAAAGATGGAACATGTGCAGGCGTCATCGCAGCGTCGTCATTGCTCACAATGTCTCGCAACCAATGCACCAATACCGCTGAAAACTAGGCCCAAGAGAGATGGGAGTGCTGAGGAGTTTTGTGTTCGATGACAACATCTCCACACCTCGCTATTAGGTTGGAGGCCATTGCTACTTTGTAAATAAAACTATTAACATATAATATAACTATAGTCAATGTCAATAGGGATGAGGTCCCAGTATAGTTGCTATATAGGTACTTGCCATATACTTTTGGCTCAAGTGCCCAACCAGGTAAAAAGGAGCTTTAGCGCGCGAGCTTCATGTTGAACTAAGGGCTAGAACGGGGCCTGGGCACGCCTTTTCATCCGTTCGCAGGTTATCAGCCGTACACGGACTCCTTTGAGCTGGGTACGTGCTGCGGCCTTACACAACACCATCTAAACGCACACGCATCGGATAGATCAGTTACCCTCAGTCACTGAAGATGGAACAATCCGACGCCAGCACTGCATCCTTTGGAGCAGCTGCTGCGGCCGCAGATCGGATGAGTGCATCCCACAATTCTAGTCCAGGTACGGTCGAAGTGGAGACTCTGACAGTGGTGAGAGAAGGTGCGACAGGTAGAGCGCGAAGTCGTTCCCCGTCAGCGCAATCGACACCACCGGGGGGGACACCAAGATCAGGCCGTAGCCCCAGGGAGACGAGGAGGAGGACTGACACCGGAGCTGTGAGAGTGCTAGCATTGGAGGATGGGTCAACTGTACCAGTACCGTCGGACAGCGAAGCTGGAGACGGGGCAAGGGCAAGCACTGACAACCTACAACTAGCACGGGCCGATGGAGACCTGAATGCGAAGTGTGCGCAACTACTTGCCGAAGTGCATATGTTGAACCACCAGAACGCATGGATGGTCGAATGTGAGCAGAGACAGAACCAGATTATACAACACGAGACCGAAGTCCACGAAGTAGTGATGGCACACCTCGAAGAATGTTACGTCGAAGGATATGGAAATCAACGAAGAATCTCCCAGCTTACAGAATCCAGAGACTGTTTGCTCTCGGCAGCACACGATTTGCAATACCAGATCGATACTGATCGTGTGGCAATGCGGGATCGTCTCACCCAGTTAGGGGAGTACGCTGATCGCAACAGCGCAGAGATGGTTAGCCAAGTTGTGAGCATCGGCACGGAAGAGATCCAGGCTATATCGGCGCAAAGAGATCGAGCCATAACCGAGGTCATGACTGCAGTCTCAGATGCTGAGAACATTAGGGATCTGTACAGACAGGAGTTAGTTGGACTACAAAGGCAGAGTGCCAGGAACAAACACGAATATGCTGAGGAGATGAAGATGAAGGAAGCAATGTATACAAGCAAGATCAAATGGTTATCAGAAGAGAATGAGGAGCTCAGCAACCAATCTTGTAATCAGGACAACTTCATCATGACCATCAGGGAGCAATTGAAAAGAGCGAACGAGGAGTTGGCACAGGCGAGGATTCAAGGATCCGATCGACTGTCTCAACCATCCAACGCCGAACTCAAGAAAGCTGAGGTCAAGATGAACATGCTGGAAGAAGACATTCTACGTAAAGAGAGGATGCTGAATCGTCTTCAGGAAGAATTGATCGAGTCGAGCGCAAGTGAAGCACAATTGAAGGTCGCACTGACGTTGAAACCACCAGACATGGGATCAGGACCCAACGTGGAGAATGAGGTGATGACCAAGCTTAGAGCGGAACTTGGACGTACCGAGAAGTCATTAAGGTCCGAGGAGAAGGAGGCAATGGAGTACTACGAAGGTATGATGCAGAACCAACAGGACATGATGGAATACGAAGCGCACGCAGCACGACTCAGAGATGAGAGGAATAAATACCGGAGGAGGTACGAAGAGGAGCGCTTGAATGCAGAGAATGCAGCCGCAACCGAACATGGTGCCGCTTCATCCTCTAGCTCGGGCGGCTCCAAGATATCTCGGAAGGAACACGAGAAGATCAACATCCCTGCATGGCCCAAGATACACGACTTGGAGGTTTGGAAATCCCAGGTTGTAGCGGCAGTCGTGACGGCATCGGGCGACGAAAGACAGGAAGATTGGATCCAGTGGCTCTCGGATGCCTTCAGAACACCATACGACCCATTTCTACTCGAGACATCAGGCGAGGCAAGATTCGCTAGCATAGACGCTAAGCTAGGTATCACCCTACATACGATCATCCACGCAGCAGGCGAGAGATCTCATGACGTACAACTGAAGGTGAGGCAGATGATGCAGAGACGTGCGAGAGGCACAACTCCTGGAATGGTCAAAGGACGAGAAATGTTAGCGTTGATCGTCGACAGCTTCCGGAGTGCCGACAACGTTGATGTGATGTATGCATCCAAGCACTTATTCGATCTAAAATTCCCTGGGGATAATCAACTATCCAGATTCCTTGGACAGTGGGATGAGATCATATCAGGTATGGATGCGGACGACATGCTTCCTGACAAAGCACTCCGCAACCTGCTTTGGGATAAGATTAAGGATTCCAAAGTTATGGCGTTAGACTTGTCCGTGTACGACAACATGATGGACAAGGATCCGGACAAGACCTACCAGAAGTTACGAGAGATCATGGCGAAGTGGATACGGAAATCAATCGAGACCACAAACAAGGAAGAAAGGGAAAAGGCTTTTGGGAACCTCGTGAAGGCTACACCAGCGGAGAAGAAGGACCCTAAAGCGAAGCCCAAGAATACCAAGGCCGATCCACCGAAGCTTGACGCCGCTCCAGTACTTCCTCAGAATAATCCGAAGGATCACCAAAAGAAGGACAAGAAGCAGGATCGTGGAAGGCCAACCACGAAGAGCCCAAAAGGGGATCGTGGCAGGTCAACGACTCCGGCAGACACGTCCAAGATAGGGTGCGCTTTCCACTTCCATGGGAAAAATGGATGTTCTAGAGGAGACAAATGCAAGTTTAGTCACCAGGAGAAGCACAAAAGTTCTGCTAAGAAACCAGACAACCTCAAGGGTGACAGATCGAAGAGTCCTGGTGGCAGAAGCACTAGCCCTAAGCCAATGAAAGATCAGGTCTGTTGGAATTGGCAGAAAGGATCGTGCAAGTTCGGGGACAAATGTCGACGTCAGCACCAAGCTGCTCCTGCTGCAAAACAAGAGGCTAAAGGCAAAGCCAAGCCCAAACCGGCTGCGCCAGCCTTCATGCTTTGCGGGGACATCGAGAGTGATGATGAGGACATACAACCAGCACTTCCCAACGTACGACGAGGTGGGTTGGCGCTTCGCTTTAAAGTCAGATTCGATGACCAGGCGAATGTGACCACGTTCCCCTGCGATCCTGGTAACGAGCTAAACACCCGTCCCCTCAGGAAGAAGAAGAGTGAGGTACAGAACGTGGATACCGAGCTCATTTCATCGTTGAGAGCCCTCAGAGTGAACAATATAGCTGCACGAGTAGCACATGCCAAAGGTAAGATGATGGAGCTATTTTCTGCTGAACACATTGCCAAGGCATGGATACAAATCACTCAAGATGAAGGAATCGAGGTGAACGTCGACCTGTCAGACTTCAACACCAGCGAGGTAGTAAGGAAGGATCCTGTCAACCACACGATACCAGGAGACACGATGTTCATGGCTGTGGAGAGGTATGATGGACCACCGATACGCTTCATCATGGACACGGGATGTGGACACGACTTGATATCAAGAGAGAAAGTTAATGCCATGGGCCTTACCACTAAGGAAGGACCCAAATCCGTGAGCTTCATGACAGCGAATGGTGTAACTAGTACATCAGAGATGGTGGACATCAATGTGGACGAACTACCCATGATGTCCGAGGCACACGTGTTGGAGAGCACACCATCAGTCTTTTCCATCGGGAAGCGGTGCATGGAACAAGGGTACTCATTCATATGGCCGGCAAATCAATTGCCATACCTCATCGACCAGAACGCGAACAAGATTCCGTTATCGGTGCATGACAACATACCCTACATTAAGGTGAATGATGACGACGGGAGATGTTTACCAAGATCAGATGGCTTGGCTACGATACTTCATCGCATACTGTCAGGTGTGGGGCATGAAGACGAGGCCACAGCAGGTCAGGAGACGCAACAAGAGGAACCTCCGCCCAAGAAATCGCGGAGACGGAGGAGAAAGAAGAAAGATAACCAGAGAGATCAGGATGGTGAATCTGATATCAATCCAGCCGTTGTAGGCGACGAGGGAGAACCAGAGGAACACGGCGATGACGGATATTCTCCTGAAGAGGGATACGACGGGGAAGACCCGAGAGTCGATCGTGATCTCGATGATCAACCTGAAGAAGCCGAAGACGACGAACATGGAGGTGATGCGGATTCTGAACGAGAGGAGAGTGACATCGGTGAAGATGAAGAGGGACTATTGGAAGTCGATGTGGTCGACGGGGAAGCCAGACTATCAAAACCAGGAGTGCTGAAGAACGAGGCGAAATCCATATTGCACTTGATGACGCACCGATACAAGAACCCATACTGCAAGTCATGTGTGAGAGCAAAGATGAAGCACTACAAGACTAGCAAGGGAGCTTTCAAACGGAAATTGAAGGCATTCGGTGACCTTATCACTTTCGATCTCATGAACACCCAGAAGATGGCGAGAGATGGGATCATGCCGGATAAGGATGTACTGGTGATTCGAGATCGGTTCACTGGTGTGATATGGGGTTATCCTTTGAAAGCAAGCAATAGTGACGAAGTGGTGCAGGCAATGAAGCACTACATCGGTAAGAGAAAAGTCACCAACGCTTACTCGGATGACGCGCCGCAATTTGAAGCAGCACTCAAGGAACTCCGGATTCCACTAGACCAGTCGCTTCCAGGACATCCCCAGAACAATTCACTCGCCGAAAGGAACAATCGGTTCATGATGCTTACCACATCGACATGCCTACTAGAGGCCGGACTACCACCATGCTTTTGGCAATTTGCAGTGGAATGCGTAAGCCATTTGTTGAACATCGAGAAGCTGAGCGATGGCAGCAGCGCATGGTTGAAATTGCACAAGAGCGAATTCCCAGGCATGGTGATACCACTCGGGGCGAAGGTGTTCTTCAAACCTAGTGACGCGAGAGAAAGGGACCAGGATCACAAGTTCGACCCCAAGAGCATACTTGGCATC